AGCCATTCTATATATATATATATATATATATATACATGTATTTATATTGTGAAGAAAAAACAATTAGCGACTAAAATTTGTGCTACAACCATTTTTATAAATTGCAGCAACCTATGAAAGAAGCACTTTAGCATTAGATTTTTAAAAGCAAGAGAATTTTAGAATTTCCAAGTGTTCAAGTCCAAAATGAACACAAATTCATTACTTGTGTTGCTTGCTCATAGTGCAGATAAGTTCCTTGATGAGCTTCTCGACCACTCATCTGTTTCTTATCCTACTGTAAAAAAACATGCTTACTTTCTATTATTTCACCTTCTATTGACAATCCAATTGATAATGAAACAGTGAGAGCTTATTTGGTTTAGTTAAGAAGGTTTTTAGAACAATTATATATATATATATATATATATATATATATATCAACCAGTCTATTTAATTATTAATCCAAGTACCCCACAAAATTCTGTGCAGTTTGTAAACCCCCCCCCCAATAATAAAAATAAAATAAAATAAAATAAAAATACAAACAAACAAACAAACAAACAAAGTATAACATTCCTTTCCAGGGTCTCTCCCATAATCATCCTAATACGCCGGCTTCTTCATGTATCCGTGCATCTCTGTTCGCAGCATGTGTGTGTCTTGTTCAATGCTCTTCATATGCTTGCTGGCAATGGTATTTTTTATTTATTTGTTTATTTTTAGTTTTAGTTTTTTTGGTTATGGTCCTCGCTACAGGCCTGTTGGTTATATCCTCAGAGCTTTTGGGTCCCTCGGAGTCTTTTTGCAAAACGACCAGTTTTGAGCACAGAATTGTTGAAGGTCTGAAGGCCTAAGAAGGTGAAGAGAAGAAGTAGAAGTAGAGCTTGATGGTGCTTCGGTGCCTAACAGCGGTCATTGATTTTGCTCTGTTCGTGTGAAGGTAACGTTAGTGATCGAATCTCTTGAGTTTTGCTTGGCTCGGAGGCTTCATGAATAAATTCTCCATGGTAAATCATGAAAGTGTTTATTTTATTATAAAACCTTGGTGCCTCTTGTGTGTCAGTGTAACTTGGGGATGCATGCGTGAAAGCTTTACTTCAAAGCTGAGTTATGGAGATGCACGATGGAACCTCAAGGGTTATGGCCAGACCAGGATGTGTTGAGAACAGGATGCATGACAAAACCGGTCCGCACTTGGCTTGCATTGAAAAAGCGTGTCTCTCGTCGTCATGAGCAATTTTGTTTTCAGCCACCTAATTTGTGATGGCAGGTTGAGGGTTGATAGCAACTTGCGCTTGGAGAGAAAAGCTCAACATATATTTGCTGCAGGGAGCGTTTTCAACAAGTTGTATGATGATCCATCACTTTTAGGTGTAAGAAACACTTGCTGTGTTGTTGTCTTCCATTTAAAAAAGCCCCCCTGTTCTTCGAAGTCCTCTCTGGAGTCTTCTTTCAGGTGCGCACGTTGTTGCGTTGAGAGAAATAAATGAAGGCGTTGCGCAGTTGCAATTAGTAATAGTCCTCGATTGTTTGTCTGGCATGATCAAAGACAAGAACCTTTTTGTAGAAAAACCCTCGGAAAGGACTTGACTGGGCTTGACGTGCCTTTGGATGATGAAACTTGTACTCCACTCCCTCTCCCAGTTTGCATGACCTGCGTATAACCCAATAAAATAGGCAATTGTAATAACGACAAGCTGCCGAGGTTGCCTCGTGTCCCCACATCCTATTCAGAAAAAACGTCCAAGGGTCTATCCGCACACACTATTGTATTTAAAAAGTCGGGTTGAATTTTAAAACTCGACGTGTTCGAGTATTTATAGCAGTTCACTTTTTTTCATTTCTATGCTACAGAAGTATATTAAAATTTTAAAAAAACCAACAGTAGAAGAAATGTTAGTGTTACGGTTCCGCTTCATAGCCGAGCACTTTGTCGGTAGTCTCAAAAGTGCCACTTCGACTTAACAGGTAATACCAAGAGGCATGTGACACATTCAACTGAGATTATGATTGAGCAAGATTGCTAGTCACAACCAAGTGTGCAGGGCTCGTTTCGAAATCCAAGTCTAATGGTAAATCAAATGGTAAATCAGGGCCTACACACCTTTCCCATTCAACTCAATTAACTGAGAGGAGTTGCCCCCAGTTCTGAGTATCACCACTAAACAATTCCAAAGCAGTTGAACATAGTGTTTAGTGAACCGACCTCGTGCTGTCCTCTGCTACGCTCCAGTGTACAAAGTTATAGCAAGAGGATAAAAATCTCTCTTCATTCCTGAGATCAATAGCCAGCAACCTCCCACTCTGTAAACATGGTCTAGTTCATGAGAGCCTAAAGTTTGCAGCTGTTTTACCAGTCTTCGGGATCAGGAAAAGAAATCATCTCACCTTTGACTTATCGACAAGAAACAAAAACCATTGAGTAACTGCATCTGAATTCAAGTTGATAGAAATCTGAGTACATTCATCATGTGATTTCGATTTCCCACATTCTCAAACGCTTGCCTTCCATCTTGAAATAAAGTTCAATAGCGGAAACATCCACAGAGTAGACAGAATGTACAAAAACCACCGAGTCCAACATAGAGTTTAGACTTCAGACCTACAGTGGAAAGGTAGAAAGCAAACCTTGAACCCAATGCTACACCGTCGACTTCCATTTCTCTCAGAGCGTTCATGCTCAGAAGGGGAAGCACTTCGGCGTCGGCTTCGTTGAATTCGATCAGTGGAGATTATTTTCCGATTTTCCCAGCGGCGAGATCTCTACTTGCAACCTGCCTGCCTGATCGTTGCTCTCCTATTCCCCTTTCGCTTGTCCTGGACCATCCTCGATTGTGCATAGCATTTCATCGCAATGACTGTTCGGTTCAGCCTGAGTGTCCTGTTCCTCGCTGCCAGCAGAAGTGCCATAATCCATAATCGTCGTCAGGAAGCTCCTCATTATACTCTTACAGTGCTTCCCAATAGCTCCTTCGAATCTGTTGAGATATCTACTAAAACCAGCGAATGGTAATCTGCTTGTGCAGGAAGAAGCTCCTTGTCTTCTTCATCATCCTCTCTGTAATTTGGGTGAATCTGCATTGACAGAACGCTCGAATCTGTCAGCTTCTTCCTGCTTCACTCTCGATAGCCATTCCCAACGAGTTCCTACGTGCCTAGTCCTTCTGTGCTTCGATTCTCACACCCACAACGGTGATGCAGAGCGAGGTGCCGCAAATTCGATTTCTAGTGACCTTACGCTCGATCTCCTGCTCTGCTTGGGCTAGGGAAGAATTCCCCATTTCGCACCGCGACGACGTCAAAAAATGAATGCCGTCATCGCATCCCTGATGAATTTCGCAACAACCATTGTCGAGGATTGAAGCGGGAAAATCTATTGAAGCACTCGTCGAGACCCCTCCCCACTTCATGAAGTCCTCTTCTCGACTTTCTCTGTGTCGGCGTTATGCCAAGTGTTATTGGCGGCAAATTTTGCCAGCTACGTTTCGCGGCCAGCGTGGCATAAGCACGATATGAACACTATAAAGCACGGTCATTGGGAGGTCGGAAGTCGGGGCTGAGTCCACGGTCTTAGGTAAAAATCTCAAGAGTACATTTGGGTGTGACGTTTATGGCTTTTGGATGTACGGCAAATAGGTTGGATGGAGTTCAGAGGATGAGAGTGTTTATCATTCGTTGTTCATTTCTTCTATTTGCTTTTTGTTTGTTTTTTTGATGGGTATGAAGAAAATTTAAAAAAAAAAAAAAAAAAAAAAAACAACAACAACAACAACAACACTGTGTTTGGTTCAAAGGGAAATTGACTTACAAAATCTCAAAGATGATGAAAATTGGAAGTTGGTTATGAAAAATCGAAGGTGTAAATTTCACCATTTTGTTTTTACAATATTTATTTTACATAAGTAAAAACAGAATTTGCATGTGAAGGCTTTAGCACTAACTTGGACTTACATGTCGACAGATGTCGGTGTTATTTGTTATTTTTTTACAGTTAAAATAATAGTGCATTTTAAGATCGAACAAAATAAATAATAGATTAATAGCCCACCTTCAATTGGCTTACATAGTAAGAAATGTGCAAGTTTTGACCCAAGTCTTTTAATCTTTTTTACACTACTATATATATATATATTTATTTATTTATTTATTTATTGATGTACCTCCCTTGATTTATAAGCTCAATGGACAGAAATTTTGTAAAATATGCAAAGAAAATTAGTAAGGGGATATAAGTTTACAACCTAAGAAGGAACTTCATTCTAACAAATATTGTCAAGTGAGCAAGAAATATTAGGTGATGAGTATTCTATAACCAGGATACACTCGTATATATATATATATGTAAAGAGAGAGAGAGATACATATAACTTCTTGAATAAAAATCAACATTTAGTAATCTATTTAACTTACTTTCTATTTTTATTCTTGAAACATTGCTTAAAAAATCATGTGTGTTTCAAGTTCCCATTCTGAGAGGAGCAGTGATGTCCAAGACGATCTTCAGAGAACAAGGCTCAACTAGATCCTAAGCAAGGACGCACAATTTAACAATGGATACGATCAGGCAGGTTGAATATACTGATCTCGATTATCTACAACAAGAGAAGCTAGCAAAAGTTTCCAGATCGTGAATGGGTGCTGCAGTCAGTAAATCAACACAAACGATGTGGGGTTTCAGGCATCAGCTCATTTCTGCAGAAGATTCGTTGGTTTCCTCCATACCACCCCCCACGCTCATGTGGAGCATCTCAGAGCTCCTGCAGAGTAAACAGAGGATAAAATAGAATATAAAAAACTGCTAACCTTCAAGGTCTTCAAACATACCATTGAAAAAACTGAACCACACGTTCGCACTACCATTGCCTGAACGGGATTCGGACTGCTGAGAGACCTAATGGATGCATCATACAGTGCAAAGTTTACCGGGCAAGAAATCAAGGAAGTAATCACATGCCTCACTGCCTCTAGTAACCTAAAGTTCATGCAAATATCCCACTTTGTATCGACACATCAACTCATTCATAGAAGAAGCCATGCAATTATCATCGCTCTTGGAAGTCTGTTGCACCCAAAAACATGGGTGGCCTTCAATCATGCAGAGCAGGAGGTCCAAATTCAATGTTGAATAGTGCCCAATACATGGCAGCCCTAAAAATTGCTACAGCCCCAGATGCATAATTGTTCAGACATGGAGTGTTCAACTCGTGTTGATCTCCAGAGTAAGCTCCTCTTGTTTCTAGCTGGGTTTGCACCCGCCTCCAAGCTATGTCCAACTTGAGCTGGTTGTAGTCGTTCAGTGTAGGAAACCATTATAGCACCTTCTGAAACCAATCTGTAAAGAAGAAAAAGAGAGGTTAATTATATAAAGCCGAGTAAATTGTAGAATAGCTCGTTGATTGTTTGCACTGTCTGCTTCTGCAAATGCAAAAGAACAGAAACTACACACTTAAGACCGATAGAGGGTGAAGAGCATTACATGCGAAGAGGGCCTAAGCACGCTGAATCAAGAAACTGTAAGGTAGCAGTTGCATGAGAGAATTCTAATGTGTGTGTCCTCGTGTTGTTGCAGGCAACTTTATCAATTCTGATAGTGGTACACTCAATTTTGTAGGATCCCCATCACTATCCACAACATTGACAGATCCTCTACACCCAGCACACCCGCAGTAGCAGGTAAGAACTTCGTCCTTCGACATGAACCTGTAATCATATGTCAACTCCTCTCCAATCTCAATGTTCCGCTTCGCAAAAATGATAATCCGATCCTCTCCACTGGCTGTAACAGTCCTCGAGTAACAATTGGGTTCACACGAATGATTGATAAGATGTGCAATGCTGCCAGCACGAGTGGCATCTACCACACGCTCATCATCGATTCGAAACATATAGGTTCCTGCTCCAACAAGTGAGTCATAGAATCTCCTTTCCCTGATGTCAGCAATTACAGGCCTCACAACTTCACCTGCATATTCGATAATCATATCATTTGCATAGTGCACCTGTTTTGTAAACACTCCCATCCCGTGAATCGCTGACTTGCCGAATACAAGGCGCTGGCTCAAAGATGATTTCATTCTACGGAACTTGTCTGACATCGACAAGACCTGAACATCTTCACCAGACTTTGTAGGAGTAGAGACAGGGAGATCCTCTCCACCAATAGTTCCTTTACTGGGTTCCCATAGCATGTACCCCATATTTCCTTTACTACTGCAGTCTCCTATCTTCAATGGGGGATTTTGTCTACAACCAGTAACTCTATATGGGAGATTCTCAACAAACAAGCGCTTCGCAAGAGCTGCAGCAAGCGCTTCAGGTTCTCGACGCCCTCGTCTTGCTGCTGCATTGTAAGGCTCGCTCCGAGCACAGCCAGAGGATGTCAAGGGAGGTTGGTATGACAAGCAATCAGTCTTAGCACATGGGATTGGTTGAGCAACGTCACAAGTTGGACTTGTTGATTGCTTGTGTCTCCGGCAGTAAGAAAGCAGCCGCAACTCTGTTTCCCCATTCACCTGCAGCTTCTCTTCCAGAACCTCCATGTAAAGGCCAGCTGATCTAGCACAAAGAGGATGAAAAGCAGTTTTACAACTATTCACGGAGCATTTTATACACGCACCATAAGGTACTTTACATACGCTGCAAGTTAGCCTCCAACGTTCTTTGCTGATTGCGTTAATTCCATCCACAGGTTCCATTCGTTTAACATCTACAAGACATGTTTCAGGTATCCACATAGCACACATTAAATGAGCCCAGCGACCATCTATTGTCTTCTTCAACGCCCCACCCGTGACAGGACAAAGACAACAAGGAGGTCGGGTCTTGGGCGCATCAGGTCTGCATAAGTTACACAGCCATAAATCTCCATCCGGAAGTTCCAGCTCTCCGTAGCAATTCATATGCACCATAATCCGGCACTTGTCACATTGCAGCAGAAGATTGTCAACGTATTCTTCATCAAGGTAACAAACTGTGCAGCGGTCCAGATGCTTCCACGATATGTGAACAGGTTTGTAACCCGCGGGTAGCACAGCCTCCACATCTTCATCTGGGGCAATTACTGTCCAATTGGTAAATTTTGTGCAAGCTCTTGCGCCTGGAAGGGCCTGAATCAACTTTGAAACTCGGGGATTACTAAATCCAAACATATGTGCAGCAGATCTGTACTGCATCCGCTTGTCCAGCTCAGGATTTTTTCCCATTTTCATATGAGCCTTTCGCAGCCTCTGGAAAGCTTTTTTCCAGCATAAATAGGGAGACGGACCTTCAACAGGAGTGTCGTCTCCAGGAGTACAACGAAACGTGGGTAGCGACTGTATTATGGGATCCCTGAACACCTGCATCTTGTACTCGACAAAAGCATCAGGGTCCTTAGCTGACGGAAAGCTACGCACTGCTGTGTAGCCTTCGGGCCAAATATATTGCTGATCATGAAAATGCTCGCTGTCCCTCACAACGTTCCCAAGGCTCAGAATCGTAAGTGCACCCAACTGAAGAGGAAAAGCCACGACGCGCTTGACTCGCCTTCTCCTCATTCTTTTGCCTTCACCACCACCTTCTTGCACATCTGGCTCTGGCTCTGGCTCTGGCCAGTTCTCCTCAATTTCCTGCCTTTGTCTCTCAATTACCCCATGCACACCATCCCCATCATCAAGCAGGTGGGACATGCTATCAGGAAGCTTGCATTCTTTCAAATACCTCTCTACTTCCTCCAGTCCTTGTACAAAAACCACCCGCTTACACTTGGTATGGAACTTCATCATCAAACCTTTCGAAAAGATCACCAACTTTTTGTAACTGAACCTACAATGATCGTAGCTGCCAAAAAATTGAAGAGGAACCATACCCTTCTTGCCAGGCTCCATACCACACGCAGCTGCATGATCCTCATCCATGACAAATGCTGGCCACATGGGCCACCCCTTCACTTTGGCCCACACAAGATCCCCATGAACTAACTTCTCTTGATCTTCGACTGTATTCGCTAATGTTACCTTCTCAACTGGACCCAGATGATTTCTATTCAATGCCTGATCACGGGTAGAGGTCTCAAGCTCAACCCACTCTTCAGGAGACAGTTTCAGCTTACATCGCTCCTTCGATATCAACACCATTTCAATCTCATTATCATTGTAATCAATCCTATGCATCTTGGTTTGAGGATTGTAGTCGTGGATGACTCCTGGATACCAATCGTTGTCCAAGGGCCAAAATACTTTGCAAGTTCGGCCTATCAAGGCCTTAGGATCAATCTTGCTCAAGTCTACTTCCCTCCACTGTCGTCTATTTGCTTTCTGAGTCACAAATTTCTGCATAGTGTGAGTAAGCTTTCTCGTCCGAGGATTCATTTTGCTGGAAACAGCATGGCCCTGCGCCCCTACAACTTCACCATTTATATTTCGGGCTTTCTTTGTTCTCAGTTTCACAAGTGAATCAGCTACAACCGCACCATTTTGAATTACAGGCTTCTTCGTTCTCAGTTTCACTGGGTTATTAAGGCTGCTGGCTAATACGGAATAAGAGCCCGAGTAATGAGCTTCTGAAACTACTTCAGAGCCCTTAGCCGCATCAAAATGTCTAAAACCATCATTCGCACCACCTTGGAGTACAGACCCGCCACTGTTCTTTTGGTTTCTATCCTTTCGCGAGGGATGTAGTGAGAATTTGGAATCTGCTCTGTTACTACCAACTCCATTTACTAGTGGTCTCACCTGCGGTGATCTGATAATCTTGGCTCTTTCAACTTCTCCGGACAACAATCCTACAGGCTGTTTCGATGTTGAGAACCCTCCGACATTGCTAACAGGAGAGCTAACTGGAGTAATACTGCTATTCCTCAGGGTAACAGACGAGAATTGCACATTACTCGTATCACTCATCCCATTCTCAGGTTTCTTGACATATGTAGACTTCAGAAGTCCAAAGCTCTTTCCTCTTTCACCATTCTGCTGGTTTATACCAATTTGTGATGCCTTCAGCAGTGTTGGAAAGCACTTAGGGGGATTAACCCCCAGACATATTAATTCATTATCACTCTCCGTTTCCGAGTCGTCTGAAGGATCAGCAACCAATAATGATTTCCCGGATAATCCTACATTTCCTAGAAAACCAGCATCTCTCTCTATTCTATTGACATGAAGATTAGTGTACAATTTCCCAGGCATTGCCTTGTTGGTAACAGAACAGTCTCCTACGTCTCTTCTCGGTTGAGCCAAACCAGAATCCTTGGCCGCTAGAGCAGTTCTATTAAATAGAAAACCTGAAGATTGCCCCTGCGGCTCTACCCGTTGGGGTCTTGGTACTGCCCTGAAACGATTAACTTCCTGCTCCCAGTCACTTTCAGTCTCTTCAGATGAGGAAGATAGCCTCACCACAGTGTGTTTCGCACCAGCAACTCCGTCGGCTTCTAAATGAACTGGAGGTGAAACTTCTGATTTCTTCAATCTAGGTTCCGCCATTCTTTTCAACAGTGGCGCTCTCGGCACTTCAGGCTGAACAATCTTGACCGTACTAACTTTCGAAATTTGATCCACTACCGTCATTGACTCCCCCAATTCAAACTGGACATTCGCTTTCTTACGCCCCACTGGATTTCGCAAATGTTTTAGCGATACATACTTAACAGGATTTGAGGTGACGAGATCAGTAGCGCCTTCATTCGACAGAGATTCATGTGAATCATGTGGCTGTGGACCACGTGGTAGAGGCCACAAAGACTTCACGACCTGGTTAGCCTGGACAGCTTTCTTCTGGTCCAATGGCTGTAGCTGCTGATGAATCTCAGCACGCTTGAGGGCGGGTCTTCTACATTTCTGTGATTCATTCCTCTGCCCATGCGCACGCTTCCACCTCCGTGACCTTGCACTCATTAATAGTTCTGGGAGAACATTTAAATCTATCGGAATTCGATCATAATCAGACTCATCTTCGTCTTCTTCTTCTTCCTCTTTTTCTTGCTCATTACAATTAAAGCGCTTTGCCTGATCCTCTCTATTCAAGCGTGGTAAATCCGAATCTGTCTCAGTAGCTGTTTCACTTTGAGTTGCCTCGCTTGAAACCCCCTGCTGCTGTACTCGCCTAATCTGCCCATTATCAATTCTTGCTGGCATGTCGTCCTCGGTTTGCGTTTGGGAACTAGATCCATCCTCGTTCCAGGGCACTGGGAGTGCACTCCTTTCCACAGAATGCATATGTGGTCGTACAGCTGGGTATGCTCGCTCTTCCTTTCCATTGATTTGAAGAAAATCGGCAGACCAAGGAGACTCTTGTTTAGCACCTGTATGATAGTCCACTTCGAGTTTATGGTTCCTACCCAAAACAAGTTTGGGCCGTTTACCTGGCCGATATCTTCCCGCATATCTCCCTCTCTTCACCCCTTCGTTTGGTGGCCTTTCCATTCGTCGTTTCTTATTAAGCTCCTCGCTGGTTGAATGAGGCAGTTTGCCCTCCAGATTCGGGCCAGCTTTCCGCATGCCCTTTAGTCTGTCCATCTGCTTTCTCCCCACAATCTGTACTTTCTCAAAATCCGGATTTCTATTCAAATCAATAGCTAAACGCTTCTCCACAGGCTTAAGCTTCATTATGGCCTTGTTTTCACAAGCAGGTCTTGCGAAGTCCAAATCTTCAAATTGCAAGGGAGATGACACAACAGCGGGCACTTCATCACGCGCATTGTTCATAAGAGAAATTCGGTCCACAACCTTTGAGCTAGTCTGATCACCCCAGAACTGCTCCACTGTCAACTGCCTCTGCTGCGGCGATGAGACATTCCGCTGAACGACTGCGAAATCGGCAGACCTGCAGTCGTCGTTTAGAATAGGTGAAGGTCGCGGCGGCTTTGGATCCGCTAGGGCATCCAAATTCATAAACTTTCGCTTGTACACAATGGGGAAACTATCATAACCCGATCTCTCTCCCATCGTACCGACATTGCCATTCCTATCCATTCCTCTCATCCCAATCACATCAAAAGCTTCCCTCCATGTCGAATGTACTCTCATGATGCTATATTGCTGACATTGCCTACGATCTACGGGCATTCGTGGGCATACTGATGCCCTACGCAGACTGCATTCGAAGCAAGAAGATAGTGATGGACACTAAACTACTCCAAATTAAAGAGTAAACAGAAAAACTAAATCCGTGTAAATTACCCCATATTCTGCAAGTCATGCAAAAAAAGAAAAAACTTCATTAATTCCGAATTGTCAATCACGATGACAATGAAACAGGAAGGGTGTGACATAATTCATTTTCATGAAAGAAACAATCACCAATTACCACGACCGTAATAACTACATGCTAGGAGTCCCTAGAGGACAACAGTGACAAAATACTCCAACGGAACTAACCTCTTGCGATGATGAAGTGACTGCGTCACCAATTCTCACTTCCCAGATACCATGAAGTACCCAGTGTCTGCATCTCCCCGCCTAGATATCCTGAAGGTTTTATCAGTTCGCAATGCTTCACTCAAGATCCTCCTATGTTCTCCGCGCCGAAAGGAACCCACATTTTCTACACAATCTGACTGGTCGCCCTCCATCTACAACCCACCCGAAACTCTACCCTAGCTTACACGTCCACAAAACTCATGAGCAAAACAGCGCTTCTTCACAACCATATTGCCACCTCCACAGCATCCTTCCATCGACCGTCCTACGCAAGCCTCATGAACAACTCCCGAGGTTGCCCAGCACATCGCCATCCCAAGAACCAACAGTATCACCACCCCTAACTCCGGTTCACGCCCTCCACAGAAATACCTCACCGCGACATCCCTTCTCATCACCACCAATGCTACAACCCCCTCTCCCCATCGCCATCACAATTGCAATCACCATCGCCATCACCAAACTCAAACTCAAACTCAAACTACCACCGCAACATGAACCCCAAACCCGCCACCCCTCACAAACTTCCCTCCTCCTTTCTTCCACCCCTCATAAGCTCAATCCGTTAACGAATTAAGCGATTCTTCCTGCAGTGCTCCCAACCCCAGCTCTCTGCTTTCGGTTTCTTGCACCTCAATCTAATCAAACCCTAACCCAACCAAAAACTCATCCTCGCATACCCCTTCCTAAAGCCAGAAATCCTATTAATTCACACCCTACGACGAGAAAGAAACCCCTCTTCGCGAGCAAGCCACAGCCGTACCAGAAACAAACCACGCAATGCTCGAGACGATAATCTTGGTGATGGTTCCGAAGTTTTCTCTCTGTATGAGTGTGTGTGTATATGTGTCTTTCTCTCCCCCGTATCCGTTGTGTGCAGTGCTTAGAGGGAATGTTCTTACGAGGACCAGAAGGAAGCTTACGGGTCTCACTAGAAAGAGAGGAAGGGAAAGGGTCCTTTTCGTTTCCTACTGTTACACGATTATCAGTTATGCATGAAATCTCTCCCTCCTCTCGTTTTCTTTTGCTCAAGGCTCGCAGGAGTTCTCATTCTCGACTTGTCTTTGTCTTGTATGAATTGGGAGGTGTGTGAAAATTGATTATCAATTTCTAAGTTCCCATGAGGTTTTGTGCATAAGGGGGTGAGGGAGTGAGAGGACTTCCCGCCTTTCAGGGTTTAGGGTTTTCATTCAACCATCTACTAATTTGCTAGAGGAAATATGATTTCGGATTGTGTTGAAGAATTTATAAAAAGTTGAAAAGATTTATGGGTACTTTTGAGGAGATCAAGGTTTTGAGATTCTTGCAGGTATTAATATGTGAGTTGGGGATCCTAGGGAGACCAGAAGATTGGTTGTTGGAACATTCCACTTCGAGGAGCAAATGGAGCCGGAAAATGGTGGATTGAGTGGAAATGTAATGTTGTCGATGTGTGTGAGCAAGTTGTCTGAGAGGAGAATTTGAGGGGTATGTTGTGGTTTTTGGCCGTTTGAGGCGCAGGAATTGAATGAATGGAGATTGCAAGCTTGGCTGGTGTCTGACTTTGTGTCAAGGTTGCTAGAGTTAGGGCTATGGAAGACGTAATACTAAAATGTGTTTTTATTATAGTGTGAATATTGTAGCTACTACAGGTTGATTGTGTGTTTCAGTTTGTGAAATTGAGGAATCATAATTGGGATGATGTTCACATGGCATGTTTGTCAATCTGGAGATCCTGTGGAGAGACATTGAGGTCTTTGGTCTCCAAAGAAACCCCAACAGTTTGAGGTAAGATTTTGAAGCAATAATCATCCTGACAAGTAGGGACAGTGTAAGCCTGTACTATGGAAACAATATCTCAACATTGAGATTTGATGGCAAATGCTTGTTTTGGAACTTTTGATTGGGGCATAGTCCTGTGTAATGAGAAATGTGTTAGACTTGCTATTCATTTTGTGAAATTAACACCACTTTTTTATGTTCTTCTTTTGGACAGATCCATGTCCCTAGCTATTTGTCGCACATGGCGTCAAGATTGCAAGGCACTTCCATATCAGCTGGTAGGTTGTCTCCAAGAATCTCTGCACACTAGGCTAGATATTTTTGCAACTTCAATTATGTTACATTCAGGCAACCCCTTGAGCCACTTCCAGATTGTTCCAGTAGGGCTATAAATGGTTGCTTGTTGATCAAAATGCTTTCAGATCAATTGGTATAGTTGGATGGAATAACTTCAGTCAAAATCAGAATATGCCTTCCAAGCAAACTTGGGCAGAATACAAACTTGTTCTACAATCCATGCATCAACATTTACATGTCAGGCTCCTCGTCCAGTGAGAGCTACACTTCAGCATCATTGACATAAAAACAATAATTACATATCTACAATGAACAGACTAGACAGTGTTAAATGTCCACAGAAAGCTTCAGAAGATTTGTAATGTTTCTTGGACGATTACAAGTGTGTTGTGCAGAGCTGGGAAAAAGTGCTCTTGTGGGTTTGAGTTACCACTCACCAGCCTGGATGACTTAATGAAATCGAATCCCATATAAGCTGCCCAGATACTTTTCATTGACTTATGTTTCCAGAGTCAAAGCAGCACTGTAGCCTTTTTGGCATCCTCCGTGTCTACCCACATCTCAAAGATTGCACACAAACAGAGGATATGTTGCAACAAGTTGGTCTAGCTGGTCACGGTTCATGGAGGTGTTGAGAAATGCTCTTCTAAGGGACCAATCTTCTACACCTGATATTGTCTCCTTTGCAGCACCCAGTTTTCTCAAAGTTTCAACAGAGCTCCATTCAGTACAGTTGCAACAAACCAACAAGAAGTTAATGATAACAATAACACAGGAGAATATACATGGCAGGGACCCTGTTGCTGAACGTACCAAGAACACTAGGGGAGATATCCTCCCGCTGCATCAATTTTTTCCTCGGCACTGAGAACAGTATGAAATCTTCTGGACATTAGAATTGTGCGTAGAGGCAAGGCACAGACATATGAGTTAAAAAAACAGAAAAAAGGAAATAGAAAAAAAAAATGTTGGTGTACAGATGGGACTGTCCAAGGCTTGTCCAAAATCTCCATAAATTTTGGATTGACAGCACCATCACTCGAACATTTACATATATACATATATATATATATATATATCGCTGAAATTTCCTCGCCTTTCACACCATTTGTTACGATTTTCTGTCGGCGGGATAGCAAATTCGGAGGCCTGTTCTCTGCTCAGCGAGGTTTTCCCAATGGGGGACACTTCCATGGGCTTTTCCACAGGCGAAGGGGTCCAGATTTTCCACAGGGTTGCCCAAAAGAGTTCCCCGGACCAACGAATATCCGTTGTCCAGTGCATGAATGAATGAGCCAGCGATGAACCAAACAAGGGGAATGATCAGACCCCACAATCTCAATCTCGTGGAAGAAGCAAACAGAGTCAGAGCAAGTGCAGCAATTTGTCAGAGCGGCAGGTCGAGTTAATGTGCATTGGAGGGTTTGTCCTTGGCCGATAGCACCAAGCGGCAAGAATCGGACGCCGACGTCCATGGACGAAGGCACCAGCATCTTGACGCATTAGGGCACGGATCCACCGCAGCAGCATCGCCCCTCGATGCCTCTATGGCTTGAACCCCAGCCCATCATCACCAGCTGGGTTGCTAAAAATCAGCCTGCCCCCACTAACAACATCGAGGCCCCTAGAAACAGGAAACCACACACCAAGTCGAGGCATCATCGTGAAAAAAGCAAAGCAGGCACAAGCAGGGAAGGACACTGTTGGACAATGAATGCCCCACACACTTACACTTGCGCTGCGGAGATTGTTGTTGTTGTTGCATTATCGCATTCTTCTAATGAACTTTTCTTTGTTGTGAATTCTTCTTTGCTTCGTAAACTCCGATGGCCAGCGGTGATAGGGGTGAGTCTGTTCCCCACCGCCCTACAACAAACAAAAAGCCCTCGCGGCTCGCCCACCGAGGGAGCCTCTTCCAAGACCGGCTTTGGGTGGTACTTCCATGTTTTACTTGTTACTTGTGGTACCGATGGAACCTCACATTGTTACATTAAATACATGGCCTTGATAGCGGAATTGGAGATAGCTAAGGAAAAAGAGGTAATTGACTTGTTTATAACACATGACACAAAACTTGTTTGTAAATAAGTAGTTGGAGAATGGTAGGTCCGTTTGAACAACTTAGCCGATTATTATTGAGAAATTGAAAACATAGTTTAAATCAATAGAGATAGAACATATACCCAAAGATCAAAACAAGGTTGTAAACAACTTATTGAAATTGCAATAGAGACAAGGTTGTGAAAGTGTGATTATCTCCATGAATGCAAGTAATAACCACCTCTCCTTTCTAACTTCCAAAAAATATGAGTTATTGTCTTGGGCACTTCTCCTAAGTCTAATATTTGACTTTAATCTTAAATCTTTCAAACCTAGATCTATAACAAGATATAGCCTTTTTACTTAGATTTGACCTAGATCTCTTTATACAATCACTTGATCTACAAAATTCACCTATTAGTATAAGCCAAAATTACCCATACAATGAAAAAATCTAACAATATAGGATTTTGTCTCCTTTAATACCAAAGTTTATAACATTGGATATATATTAATATAAACAATATACATTGGCTTTAAACTGGCTTCTTTAGCCTTTACTAGTTCTTATAAATCTATCTCTAACATTATATCCACTCCTACAACTCTTCGATAATAATAACACTACAAACAATATCTACAAGTCACAGAAGAATCTGAGAAGAGAGAATGTTGAAAGTTCTTAAATCTCCCTCTTCTTCTTCCAAATCCTAGCTACTATTCTAATCCTAATTTCTACCATGATTAGATCTTTATCTATCTTAGTCTTCATCCATTTTAATTTTCATCCAACTAGTCAAACACAATTATTATAATTTGTGGAATAGCTATCCAAGATTTACTCTTAGAATGGCATTTTTATTCACCTAAATTATTAATGTGCTAAATTCTTGTTTAATAAAGGTTCTTTTAATGTATAAGTAATATTAGGTTTTATTGCAAGGAATCTCACCAAAGATACAAAGTGATTTCTTTGTATATAAATATTAAAAAAAAATGAAGAATAATCCAACTAGCTACTAGCAGCAATCAAGGCAATTTTATTTAAATAATAACCATGATGACAATTGCCACCATAGTATCCATAGTAGTCTTTGTTGGAGTTGACAAAGCAAATCCGGATAAATTTTTAAGGTGATTTCAATAAGTTTATATGGCTAATGGTGATTAAGATAAGACATCATAGCTATTCATATTGTCAATTCACTTCAAGGACAAGTCATCTTAGTAGTATAAAGGACAAACCAAAGTTATGAAAGCCAACAAGATGATGTTATTATAACTTTATGTAATTTATTTTAAGAAAAAAGAAGTTATCAAGTTTTAATCAATTAATTGAGTTTGATGCATCAAAAGAAGAATTAGAATAGAAAAGAAGTTGGATTGGTGATGGAATTTGCTATTAGATTAAAAGAAATGAAAGATTTCATCTTAAAACATCAAAGAAAAGCTTCAAATGTGGAATGTGGTATGCCTTTGGATCCAATAACTACTACAGCTTTGATTGTTAGTATCAACCTATAAAAACTTTGGACTTTCCTCTAAAGACTGATACTATCAATTTTAAAAAATAGTTACATAAGAAGAACCAATGTTGTTAAATGTAGCTTTAATCTTAACTTAAAAGAAAGAAGATTAGATTGTTAAGTTAATAATGCCAAAAATCATGATAATGGTAGTTTTATAAGGAGCAAACTTAATTAGAATAACTTCTAACACTATCTATGCAATCCTAATGGTAGTATTAGCCTTAAAAAGGGCTATAGTTGCAAAGCTTATAGAAGAATTTTATAATGTGAAATTATTTGTTGTATAGAGTCAAAATATCCAAACTAAAAATCTATTGTCTAAAAGGCCACTCGCTTAATATATTATATAGTTTATGGTGTGCCATAGTTGCAATAAGTAAAGACACTATGCATCTGATTGTCCTAAAAAGGAAAGAAATTGGAACCCAAGACAAATCACAGCTTCTAACTTAAGAATAAAGTTGGTAAAAATAAACTATTTAGAATGCACCATCAAAAAAAATATAAAATGAAGTTGAAGTGATGATCTTGTAGAAATATGATAGATTAACATACAAAAAAGAATTGACTAACTTACAAAACATCATAAAAGAAAAAAAGAAATCAAAGACATAATAAGTCAAGTAGTAAAAGGCCACAATATTGAATTAGAATATAAGACATGATTTTGAGTAAAGAACAAATGGATCACTCAATTATAGCAAAGTCTATTACTTTATTGACATAGAAAGACATTGAATTTGATTGGAGCCTTAAATATGTGAAAAAATTAGATTACATCAAAGAAAAGTTAGCAAGTGACTCAATATTTCCAAGTTCTTACTAAGGCAAGAAGTTCATTATAAATCCATCAATGCCAAAGTAGTGGTATGCCCAATTATATTAAAAAATAATAACAAAAAATATCTATATCTAGTATATTATACAAATTAATTGTTGATGGATTTCATAACGAAATATCTCTTAGTCAAGAAATTACCAATAGCATTCCTATTTTTTTGTACAAAGTTCAAGCATTATTTGCTATTAAATATCTTTTTAACTATAGTCTACTACAATACTAACAAATTAAAATAATTAATATAATAAATCATCTTTTTTGAAAGGACAACTCAATTCATAATTTTTTTTTAATAGTTTGATTCAAAAATCAAATATATGAAGAAAGAAAGAATAGTGTATGCAAAGCTACTTTTGTAACTAAGCATATCCTCAATTTTAAAGAAAAAAATCTAATTAATAAAGGTGAGTATTATGCAATAACAAGACTTAAAGACAAGTTGGATTTTGACTATGCAACTATCATCAAATATTTGACAAATCTTACATTTTGAAAAAGATATATCAACATACAAAAAAAATTCCTATTCATAAAATATATTCTGTTCACTTTGATTAACAACAAATTCTATCCAAGAGAGTTGTAAATCAACTATAGATTATCATAATCTACTTTGCCACCAAATCCATCACTCAAAAGATTTTGACAATATGATACTTTTGTTATACTATTTTCAAAAATTATAATAAGTATTACAAAAGTTATCTATTTTATCAAACATATGCCAAGCGCTTTTCATGTTACACCAAAATCCATCCAATTCTTTCTATTAGAGCTTTTAAAAAATATGAAATCAAATTTATTGGTCTGCTATCTATCATTGCAAGACAAGATGATTATATGATTGTAGCAATTGATTATTTGATAAAATGGGCCAAAGTCCCAATAGTTAAGAAATGTACAATAGAAGTAGTTTCTAAATTCTTCTACAATCAAGTCATTTGTAAATATATATATCCATTAGAGATAATAATTAACCAAGGATTGTACTTTGCCAAAAAAATGATATGTAATCTACTTGAGAAGTTGTAACTTAAACATTAGCAAACTTCACCTTATTATTTTCAAGTCTTGTTGAAAAGACCAACAAAATTCTTATTGGAATCTTAATTAAGACAATCTAAGACAAATAATAAACTTAAGATGAGCATGTATCAACTAACAAAAACTAAATAACAAGGTCCTTTTAATGTCGCCACAAAGACCATCTTAAGTGTTCTTTGCTTTTCTACAATGGAAAAATTAGTTTCTTGTTTGATGTACATATATCTTCCTCAAACAATAGTCAATCAATAACATATTCAACTAAAGCTCTTCATATAAGCTTATCTAAAATAGAATACTTCTATTTATAATAAATAAGAAGTAATTATTGAACTCTCTTCCCTCACACAAAGTAAAATGAAAGAATTTTTTAGAATTCCACTTCTCGTCTTTACAAGGAACTCACATTGTACACACCTTTTTTTAGGAATAAAATTGGTTCTGTTTACTCTATAGAGATGTCAAGGGGATTCAAAATATGAGCATTGTAATTTTTCTTCTATAGAATTATGGTGATAATTAAAAGAAAAGCTCACACTGCTTGTTAAACATGTGTTAAGTTGCATGAATGAATATTCAACATGACCAAATTCTTTTAATATTTTCTTCTACAAAATAAAATTGTCTTATCACAGAGAACCATTACTTCTACACAACATATAATTATCTTGCAATATAAAATCTTCGAACATTCAAATAAAGGTACTTCTTAATTTAATACATAAGCTATTTACATATATATTAAAAAATTAAGAGCATAAAATAATATTTTTTAAAAATATATTTAAAAAAAAACACGTAAAGCTTTTCACATCATAAAAAGTAAATATTATACATGTGATATATATATATATATATATATATAATTTTTTATACTTTATACAATAAGTTTAAAATATAGATTTAGGATGTTTATATTTTATGACAAATAGTCAAATTATGGTTTTTTTAATTTAAAAATGAAATAATTTTATCAATATTGCATATATATATATATATATATATATATACACACACACATACACATATTTTTATAGATCAGAATAGTTTTAAAATTAAAATTAATAATTTAAAGCTATTTGAATTTAATCGTTTCGATATTTTCTAATTTTCTTAAAGATTTTCCTTTAAACTCATCATGATGCATATTGTGCACCACCTGAACCTCTAAACCACAACACAAATTCATAAATAAATACCAAGAGAAATAAACAAATAAATAACCATGTTTTAGAATAAAATAAAATAACTTACAAAATTCAAAACTTGAGGATCATGCTACTGATATGGTGTCCAATTACGCACAAAATGATGTTAACATCAGCATGATATTAACAACAAAATGTACATCCTTATTTGTTCAAAACTAATTGCCAATCCTAAATCTGAGTTTATATCCAAAAATTAGCAGGAAAATTAGAGTAAGCTTTGATGGGATTGCAGCAGATGAGGCAAACTGAGGGGATAAAACAAAGCGATGAGGCTTACAAAGATTTACCGAAGATTAAATCTATGAAAAAGAAATGGGCAAAAAAAGTATCAAAAGTGTGCTTTTCTGTAAACAACATGCTGGGTGAGAAGGATTTACACGTGACCCAATGCAAACTATGAAAACATTAAGACTACAATTCTCTCTAGTAGTTATAATTATAACATTGCCAAAAAGAATGTACTTCGACAATATGTTTTATTAGAAGATATGGCTACTAAATATTTTAACAAACTCATATTGAAGGGAGATTGTTTCTACAAAGATGGTAAGGAGATATACCCATTTTAGTCTAATATCAGTGGAATTTTTCTTTTTGTGATTAATCCTAAATTAATATAAGGGATTGTTTTTGCAAAAAAGAATAGAAAACTTTTCCTTTTTTTTTTTTTTTTTTTTTTTTCCTTCTGTTTTTTTGGTGTTTCCTTTCTGTAAAAGTCTTACTTTGAGCTTAAAGTAGTCTAAAGCTTTTATGGAACAAAAAACTTTGTAAATTAGATATGGAAGAAAGGTCAAGATACTAGAAGGAATATGGAGGATCCTTTACTTCATGTCCAATTCAAATAAAAAAGTATGTCGTTTTTTGTAACAATAATAATTTCATGCCTCTCTTTTAATACAAGAACAAGATTAATGTCTACCTTAAAAATATTCTTGTGTAAATTTGTAACTTAGAATGCAAAAATATCTTAATTAGTATTGTGTGTCTTGTTTAAAACATTTTGGTTTGTGTATTTGTAAACTTAAAGTAAGAATATGTATAAACATTTATTTTATAACTATATGTTATAAAACCTATAATGTGATTTTAAATCGAAATAGAACCGAATCTAAATTTTATTGCAACTTGCAGATAATTATTCAATGAAACACCAGTAATGTAGTATAATAATATGATGAAATTAAGATTATATTTTTTTGTATAATTAGATTACAGTCAACATCATGGCTTCAATGGCCACTAATTTGTATGGTGTAAAAGCAAAAAAGCTATTGTTATTCAAACAAACAATTCATGAGAGTACATTAAATAGTTGCAGTATGAAAGATTGCATTCAATAAGAGTCAGAAGCATTTACCTTATTCATCATATTTCAAATCACTGAAATATTTTAATATTTTGAAGGCTCGTATTCTGACCAGTATTACATTTTTTCGTAGAATCCAAGAATGACTACAATGTCCCCTCTATTTATCACAACAAAATCAATTTGCAGAACTATGCTTCTCCTCGAGTACAAAAAAATTTACGTAATGTTGTAACTGTATTTCTTCTCGAATTGTGAGATGACTCCATCTCGCATTTATATAAATTTAGAAGACTAAAATTTCAAGTACTTTAACGAAGTACTTCACCTTCTCTTCTTTTGTCTCTTTTTCTTCTTTATTCCCTCCGTATGCCTTCATAACTTTAGAATATTATAAAATCCGAAATTAAGAACAAATGATGCAGTGAGTTACAAAACTACGATACTCAAAATATGCAACAATTTTCGTTGCACACTGGAAACAAATGACGCTTTAATCCAAATTAGAATAAGAGACCAGAGCAAAATTTGAGGTAAAAAATGACTAATATTCGTTAATCATAAACTTTTGAAGTAGTAAAACGACGAGGTTACAATGATAAAGGTTGACTGTGACGATGGTGTTCGTTTCATGATAAAACCTGTACATGGCCTCTTAGAGAGGTCACTAGATGCGAGTCCATGGGCAGCCATTCAACCACACAGCCCCAACTGTGGTTCAGACACATTCAGGAACTAACATCTGAAACCGCAAACTGGATTGTTTTCTCAACTATGCTACTTCAGTAAGACTAATCTACAATCAACTGCTGGTGACTATCGAACAGCCCTGTTGCACGTGCTAGTCCATCATGCTCATAACCATAAATGTTCACCATTAACCAAGTTGGTGATGTTAATTTGAACTTCATTGATCACCTTCATCTGGTGAGAGAGGTGCCATGGGACAGTCTTCACTGCAATCAGTTTCACTTGAATATAATATCCGCCTTCTGGTTGCTTCCCTGGAATACGACCGGTTGAAATTTATGGACAAGAAGCAATACTGATATTGTGGAAAACGCAAAATAGAAAATTTATTTTTGATAAAGAAAGAACAAAAAAACCATAAAAAGAAAAGAAAAAAGAAAAAATAGAAAATAGGCACACAAATTATAGTTACATAATAAATTCATTATAGTTGCTACGATTAGTACTAAGCAAATATTACACGTAAGAATGCTACGATAGTGTACAAGCACGACAACATTTACTGGAGATGGAAAGGATCTGGCTTCTGATCTTTGAGGCTCAAAATGGACTCTACAAAGCTTCTCTCAACTGGAAAGCCCTGGAAAGGCTTCGAGCTCGATCGTACTCATTGACATCCACAAGTACTCGTTTCATCCTCCGTGCGAGAGCAATGGTGCTTTCGTTAGCCGCTTCTCGCTTCTTCTCAAGGGATCTGGTGATCTTCAGCATGTACTCGATCAATGAACCGAGTTTGGGGCTTTGCTCTGCGAAACCTGGTCCAACCCAAACACCACTAAGCGCGGCAACTATTCGTTCGATGCGGGTGATGGCATCATGGTCTGTTGTGAATCCAACCTTCAAATACGCCAACATCTTCCCTGATAATAATTGATCCAAGGCTAATTTTTCAAGTTGGGGTAGAGCCAGTACGTCCTTCCAACATCCAAGATTGCGTAACAATCTCACTGCTACACCAAACTGCCGATTAGCAAATCGCAAGGCTCCCGGGACTGCAGTGGTCACTTGATGGGACCAATCTGGTACCTACTCAAAAAAAAATACATTTCAAGGCTTAGTATAAACAAGAATACCAGCCTCCTGACATTGAAGATCTTCTGGAGTTCGTACATGAATTAGATTTTATCAATACAGAGATAAGTTGATTTGTGTACCTCAAGACTAGCAACAGCATTAGACATACGTTTGTGCACTGCAGCAAGCATTTCTTGCAATGCTTCACTATTTGCAGCATCCACATAGATGAACATCTCTTGAACAGCTTTCACAGCACGTTTGGTTCCTTTCGTGCTCAAAACATCCCAGCAATGCTCCAATTCATGATGTAAGACGGGAAGAGCAACTTTTTCCACTAGCTTAGGTATCAACTCAAAATCGGCATCATGCTCAGTCCCATGCACACCGTAGTCGAACAAGTGCTTGTACCAATTCATTTCATCAAATCCTGCACTACCATAAAGGGGATCCCAATGCAAAAGCTCCAGCCGAACATATGGGGCGAAAATGGATGGAACACTCAATTGCATGTAAGCATCCGAATAAGCTGAAGAATATTGACGTTTCCAACTCTGTAGCTTTTCCTTAACTTTTCCTAACTGTGCGTACTCTTCAGCCGCATCACCGTATACACTTTCTGCAGTTAATAATACTTCTTGCTTGTGGGATATGTATGCTTTCTCCTCGCTTTCGCTTTCTTCGCTACTTGATTCCCCTTCCAATGTCTTAACAAACAGAAAAACCACATTCTTAATTTAGTTCCTAAATCAAAGGAGCAAGTTCGACAATAAAAAATTCTTGAATTCTCCAAAACAAAATAGTTATTTGCATGGTGTGTGTCCAACTCAACATAAAAGGTCACTTACCACTGCTCGAGCGGAATTCCCATTAGAAGTTTTCAGAGATTTAATCCGCCGTTCAGCAGCCAATCTTGCTCGACGCTCACGTGCTTGTGCTCGCCGCTTGCTCTCCATGCGTTTCTGAAGATTCACATCCCGTCCAAACTCATCAAACTGAGGAACTGTGCTGCTCCGCACATCTCTCGCCGCTGCGGCTAAGGCAGCTGCCATTGCGGTCTCAGTACCTCCTCCTTTGGCAAATGCAGCCTTAGCAGCATTAACAGCAGGCTCAATTTCAGCTATCTCATCTGCGTAGTCAGCAGCACGCCGCTCCATTAATGCATTAGCACGCTCCTCATGAAGCCGTTGCATGGCCTCTTCCAACTCCTCAATGATAGGACCCTTATCCTGCATGCAAGAGGCTTGATCTCTTTAATTCAAATTCAACTAAATAGAATTGCTTTTCATAATTGACTACACCTCATTTGAACAAAGCTTAGAAAGCCGAGGGAATAGCATTGGCGCCTCAAAAAGATGGCAATTCGGCAATTACACCGAATCTTTAATTACAAGTCGATTGTGAGAAATATAATAAAAAAATTGGTCAAAGGGACAGATAACCGTTACCTGCAAAAAATCACATAAAATAGCGAAGTAATTACGGAGTTCCTGCATGTAGAGATACTTCTCACTTGCGTTGCTCAAAGATTGTTCCAATGATGCTACTCCGGAAAGTGACGAGCTTAGCATTTCCTCAGTTCTGTGGAGCTCTGACTTTGTCCTTCCATGGCTTTCCTGGAAAATACAAGTTGTGAGAGGCAGAAAATCTAGCCATACAACTAGCATTGCAGAGAACCCGAGCGTATGAAAGAAGTCTACCGTAGAATCTATAGACACGATTTCAGTAATAATTTAGCTCAAATAGTTCCACACAACACAACATATAACTCAAGATAGCGGAAAAGACGTGAATATTCCATTACAAGAGAATCGCTTCGAGAGACACAGATCGCGGGTCCTTTTGACAATATCACAAACTGCGATTTGGGTTGTGAGTAAATATGCAGATGAAGATAGAGTAACTGTGTAAGACTTTCGAAGAATGACCGATTAACCGAGGATCTCTAAGAATGAGCTGTTCTGGTAACCTTCATGTAACTGGATGTGTAGAAGAAATAACCACCTACAATAGAAGTCTTGAAGTAGCCTCAGTCCAGACTTACAACCTCAAATACACTACCCAAAAACCTTACACCAGAAAATCGGAATCTAACATAACGTACGCACAAAACGAACCGCAAGGACATTCTTACATACCAAAAAAAACATAAAAAATAAAAAATAAAAAATAAGAGCATAAATTCTATGATAGCAGCTTTTCTTTGTAAATACCAATTTAGATGAATAGCAGAGTAGATACACTCACCCGCATCTTGTTCAAATTATCCTTTAGGACTTTCCAAACTTCATCTGCTTGCTGCGGAATAGACAATGCTTCCGCCGCACCCCTTCCATAAGCAAAACCGAAACTACCTACATTCATAGCAGGTATTCCAGGAGTAAAGCCCCCGTGACCAGCAGTAGGACCAGCTACGACCCCAGGCACCACCCGAGCCACATCTTCCACCCTCTTCCCAAATCCTTTCCTCAGTTGTTCTTCTTCCCAAGTCCTCTCCTCATCCACTTCGTCATCCTCTTGATGAGCCAATTCCGAGTCTTTCGCCATCGCTTCAAACACAGCCCCTTGAGACTTGTGCTTGCCCCCAATGGTCTCCCCTAAAAAAGACATCCTTCCATGCACTTCAGCCTCGTCCTCACTAGAATCGGCATCGTCTTTTCCCCTTTCAAGATCTCCGTGCTCACGGACAACGCCTCTCACATCCCCATCATTCACAGGTATGTAATCAGGGGCCGCCTGCGCCTGACGCAACCGATTTCTTCGTGCCTTCGCGAGAGCAATCATATCCGCATCTGGAATATGAGTAATCCCTCCGCTATCTGCCCCTGTTCCAATTCCCATCAACCCTAACCTTCTCTCCGCATCGTATTCAACCCGTCTGGTCTCCTCCACTTTTCTACCCCCTTCTTGAGTTTCGCTTTCAACATACAATCCCCTCACTTTAACTTCCACCGCAGCTTTCGGCTCTTCAACAGGCTTCAGTAAACCCTTAAGCACCACAACAGGCTCTGCAGGCAAGCTATCAACCACCGGCTTAGGTGCCCCTAATGTTTTCGTATTCCGTTGCAGCTCCAGCAATTTTTCTTTGGTATATTCACCCGCTTGCGCCTGCACATTAGACGGCACTTTTAACACCGATGCAGTTTTTTCCTTTCCCAGCTCAATTTTAAGTCCACTATGTCCCACTCCGTATCCCCCCTTCTTCTTCTCCTTCTGCGCACTCTGCAACAGCACCAATTCCCCATCGGGCCTCTCCTCCCCAAACCTAAACACCCCGGCCCCTCCCTGCTTCAACTGCACACTCTCTTTAACTCTCTCCTTCTTCGCCTTCGTCGCCAATTCGCCATCGCCATCGCCTTCATCTTCATCTCCTCCAAAGCTCAAAAGCTTCGGCCCCGACGATTTGACCACCGTGACACTAGTCTTCTTCACCTCTTTGCGTTTCGTGACGGTCTTCGTATCTTTCTCTGGCAGCGCAGGTTTCTCAGGCTCTTCATCGTCGTCGTCGTCCACACGGCGTCGCCAGTTCCTCACCTTCGACATGGTGCAATGGCTGCAATGGCACTGGATACCCTTCCCTCGATTCCAATCAACGATGCTCGCTTAGGGTCTCGACTCAATCTGCTCCTTTCCATTGAAGCTTCCTTTCACGGAGTGCACATAATCGAAATTAGGGCTTAGGGAGCTCTCATTCATCCATAAATCATATATAATTCATCCAATATGTTCATCCAATGTGTTCATCTATGTCCCCTGCATCGCATGCTGGTTGGATGAATTCATTGAGCAGAAGTTGTCTTAGGGAGCCTATTACCGACACTGTTGTGTCGGTAGTGGGTGTTTTGAAGTGCCGCTGATGACCTCCAGTTCTCTTGCTATGAAGCGCTTTGACATCGAGGTATTCTTCACCTTCGAGTAGTGTTTGGAGGCCTTCTTCACCTGCCGTATGTGTGTGTGTGTGTGTGTGTGTGAAGGCTCTCTCGTTTGAGTGTATTGGTCGGAGCTAGGCTTGTGCTCCACTTGGGGCAAGCGAAGTCTGCTTGGGTCTGATCACCTGATGGTAACCTGAAGTCTCTGCTTAGGTCTGCTTAAAGTATGGAAGGAAGGGCTGGAACTGTCAGGGTTGTGGACAGGGATGGACGAGCTTCGGATGCCACAGCAGGCGAAGCTCTAATGCTAGGGTTTCATGGTGCTGCAGGGTTTGTGAATTAGTACGTGCGTGGCCTAGACTGCGTCACACGGCAGCTTCCGTTGAGTTTGTTTTAGCACAAGTGTTTGTTTTAGCACAGAATTCACTGGAGGAAAATAAGGTTTTGTTTGTTTTCTCTTTTTTTTTCTCTTTTTTTAATTAATTAATTAAGTCTTTTTCTTTGGGTTTCTTTAAAAGCAATGTCAATTCATTCAAATGCACTAAACCACGTGAAATTGTGGTTGACCAAGAACTTGAGCAGAAGGAAGTGAACAAATTATGTTGAAACCCTGTGATTGCATGTTTTGTGGGTAATAAACCGCAAGATTCACGTCTCAAAGCATAGAAGGAAGGATTGAAAGAAGTAGCAGAAAGTGATATTTCTCTCAACAAAAAAACCTTTGTCGAGATTACGTATACCTGAAAACTTCATTGGAAGAAATGACTTTCCATATTTTTACAATATATGTATATATCTACTGTATAGTTCTACCCTTGATTTTTGGTTGTTCCAAGATTAGGATGTAAACTGTGTTCCGCACGTAATTTGGAACCTTAAAGGTATCTCGTATTTGAGATCATTTAAGATCTCAACTTAGATGGTACTAAAAGATATGCTTCAAGAGTTTTTTCCACTCTTTCTACAGATTGCAACCAAGCTGGGGAATATTCTGGATTATGACTCTAATAACAATAACTCATTGGAGCTACTGTTTTGTATTGCAATGGACTCTGGTGTTGATTGGGAGCAAAAAATCTGAGTGAATAATCTGGTGACTAACAATAAGAAATCTATTTTTATAAATTATTTGAATTTATTGATTAGAGGTTGTTTTTGTCTTGACATAATTCAGTAAATTTAAGATTTCCTTAATCTTGCAAAGGCATGGAACATGAAGAACATGGTTAACAAAAGGCCAATGCCTTGGCCAATGAGCAACAAACTCACAACCTATTAGACCAAGTTAACATAGTTTAACAAGTCTTCCAATCCTTCCTTCTATTTTTAAACTATGTTAACTATTCTACCTCAAAACTTGGACTCAACTAATAAGGGTGATGCAAATGGATTTATGTTTATTTATCACATGAAAAAAGAGACAAGAAAAGGAACAAATAGATCTCAGTAAAAATCCAAAATTGTCTCTACAAATCTAATATTTGTGGATTTATATCAATGCTAATTATTGTAGATGATATACCAAATTATGATTTATAGTTGCCAAATAAATGTTAGAAGAACAAGTCTTTAGTAGGATCTTCAATGGCATGGATGTTTGTCATGACAATTACATCTAATTTATTTGTTGAAACTTATAGCCTCCAACTTAAGATTAATTAGTTTCAAAGTCAAATACAAAAAAAAAAAAACAGTCTATTATCTACCATTGCTTTAATCCAATTTTCATCATTACTTCTTCAAAACAAAGTACAATACAAGCTTTTCAATCTTGAGTTTATTTTTAGATTCCTTGCTATGCCAAAAAAATTGACAATAAGTGCCATGGCCATCAAAGAGGAATATAACACATAACAATAAGTCACAAACAGAGTGCCACGGGAACCAAATATTGTCATTGGAAACAAGAAAGATTGTAGAAAAATGCAACAAGGAAGAAATTAAGGAAACAAAGTCATGATTTAATAATAGGATTTGGCATACAATACCAACATGATAATAGAAGACAATTTGATACTTTGTAAGATCTCTTAGATGCAAATGCCATTTTATTTGTTGCATGGAACTTAATTAGAAGTACTTACAAATTTGCTAATTTAATATTGGGATGCTATATATTATGTGCCACCAAATAAGGCCATGCCAAAATCTAATGCCATACAAAGCATAGTTTGTCAAATTCCATTAGAATTTATTTACATGGAGTTAGAAACTCATAGATTGCCAAATTAGAGTTGTATACAAAGCTGAATATAATGGAATAGATAAAATTACAAAAATAAAAAAACAAAAGTATTTAAATTTTTAGCCATATAAAAAAAATTATGAATTTATAGTAGTTTTATTTATTTCTCCATAACATCTTTATTAAAAAAATTCAAATATAAAAATTCCTTCCAATATTTATGGAATTGAAAATTTAATTATGTGATGCTTATTTAGCTACTTGGTTAACAGAAAGACTTTGTTTTATCTTCTATAGGTTCAATATATATCATGACTTATCCTAAATACAAGTCCAAAAGTTATTTTATTACCTTCATTAATTTTAAAAACTTCTTTATCAAAACTTTGTCTTAATAAATAAAATGCTTATATGTAGTGCTTATAATCTCAAATTTAACCCTACAATAATTCATTTATATATGTATACATGTAGAAAAATGTTAAATAGACATAAGTTTTTATTAAATTTACCTACTCATCCTAACAATCAAAAAATAAAATAAATGATCTTCATATTCATATCTCCACTATTGGATTTACAACCAATAAAAACTAACCATATTCATTATGAATACTATATTCTTCATGAAAAGTGAGTCTATTTAGTAAAAGCATGGAATCTCCACATCTCCAAATTAATTGTATTAGTAGATATTGTAGATCTATGTAATATATATATATATATATATATATATATATATTTAAAATTTATATTTTATATCTTAATTATATTTCAATAACTAATTTTAATTATAATATTTTATATCTAAAAATGTGTCACGGACATACGCATGTAAGCTAGTAATTACATGTATAAATAGGTAGAAATAAGTAAAAGTAGGTAAAAGTAAGTTAATTCTGTAATATTTGCTATGAAAGCTTTTTAGAAGCTTTATAGATGCTGCTTTGACTTTATAGGTGTCTTTAATTGACTTTTTGGATTAGAAACATGGTCAATAAGTTGGCCATGTGCCACACATGTTGTTTGCTTGAAGATCAAGCTAACTATGTGGCCTACACATAGAAAAACTTACCTTGTAAGTTAAGGCATGTTTCTTACAAAGTCATCACATATTGGAGGTCCTATAGAACGTTGCCAAGTAGTCCCTAGTTAGATAGTATATATAGAGACAAGAATGAAGCCTTCTTCACTCTTCTCAATTCTTTTCTTGCTTTCAGTCTAGTTTCAAGGGTCTCTAGTTTTCTTGGCTTTTAGCTATAGCCATTCCAATTTCTTTCTTAATATATATATCAAGTTATTTCTATTTTTTCATCTCTCTTTGAGAGAAGTTTCACTTATTTATTTGTTTTTATCATGTACTTGTCCTCGACAAATTAACAAGAGTACACTTATAATATGAGAGCTTTGTCTAATCTTGATTAAGAGTGGATTACTTCTTTTCTTGATAAGACATAAGCATATTAGAAGTTGCAGATTACCCTCTTCTAAATTGATATTGTCCTTAGTATTTTTTTTTTGTTCTCAAGTCCTTTCTTCTATTTGTCTTGAGCGATATTAGACATCTTCTCTTTTTTAAGTGTTATCATAGCAGAACTTGCTGAAATGAAGAGTGTAATTTCTGCACAAATGACACAAATGGCACAAATACAAGAACAATTGAGGAAATTAATGCTTGCGATGCATCAACTCAATTTACCACTACAAGGAGCAACAAGATTGGCAAGAAGTGAAGATATAGAAATGATTGGAGCTGCTTCAACATCTGCACCAAATCATGTCCCTTCTCTTATGGTGGAACACCCTTCCAATGTTAGAGAACCAAGAATTGTCCTGCCCGAGAAGTTTGATGGCACCAGATCAAAGTTTAGAGGATTTATCAATCAAGTACAACTTGTGATTGAACTTCAATCCCAAAGCTATCCAACTCCAAGACCGCAAGTTAGATTCATTGGTACGCTTCTTTCAGTTTCAGCATTATCATGGTTTTTATCTTTTCTTGAACGACAAGATCCAATATTGGATAACCTAGAGGCTTTTTGGAAGTGTTTTGATCCATGTATGAAGAACATGATGCAATTCGTATTGCAATCAATAAGATCCATACTTTGCGATAAGGCAATGGATTGGTAACATTATATGCTTTATAATTTTGACAACTTGTAATTGATATCAAGTGAGATGATGCTACACTTATTAGCCAATTTCTCCACGGATTGCAATATGAGGTAAAAAAATTAATGCTCAATTTACTTGATCCTCAAACATTAAATCAAGCAATTGACTTTGCTGTGAAAAGCAACAATCGTCTTTTTAAATTCCAATCTAAGAACCGTACAAGTGGACCTTAACGTTATTATAATTCAATGGCAATACCAACATTTCTTCAACACATACATTCGGAAGTAGAGGATATGTAAATTGATGCGATACGTTTTAAACGTCTTATTGAGCAAGAAAAGACTCGTCGTCGTCAAGAAGGATTGTACTTATATTATGGAGAACCTAAGCACACTGCTCAACATTGTCCAAAGAAGCGACGCTACCATAAAATGAGGAGTATGGCAATCAAAGAAGATAGCATGTCGA